GACTATGTCAGCTAGAAGAATTCTTCTAAATCAGATCTAAAACCAAAAACAATATCCTGATATTCCACTTTCCCTTCCATCTCCTAGCCCATGCCACAGATCTTTCCACAGTCTATCTATGAGACTGAAGATATCTCTAATGTGCAAGAACCCCCACAAGATTACTAGAAGGATAAAAAGAAATGGGTCTATGCCAGGGCTTAGGGAGAGCAGTGGTCCTTCTGCCCCTAAGGCCAGAACACCCCAGCCCTGCAGGCAGCACAGAGTTAACTACCCACCCGGTTTGAGAAGCACAAAGGTACATCACTGCAACATGCCTAACATTTACATTGCCTCTCTCTGCTCATTAAACAGGTTTTGGTTAAATAATGAACAAACTGTATTACAGACTCCGATGAGAATTCCAAAATTATAAATCAACTGGGAAAGCCCAAAGGGGCAGACAGACAGGGAGGGGGGGGAGAAAGAAAATATTGACTAATATAAAGGGCGCAGCTTGACAGTGGATATTCCTGCCACACCTGATCAAACACACTCTGTTGGGGGAGGGGAAAGAGAGCAAGAGAGGGAACATGGAACAAGACAGACTGAAATTTGCATCCGGAAAAGATTAAAACGGATTCTTTGGGGATAGAGAAAATACATAATATATATTACTATAAATGCAAAACTGTACTAAAAGCTAACTCAAATGTCAAAGATTACAGCTTGAATAAATTTAAATATAAAAGCCATGTGCTTCTGGAGTTAATGAGAGAGACATAAAAGGACAAACTGGGCTAGGAAGCTGAACAGAGAGCCTTTTTCTGCCTTTGCTGGACAATGGGTTCAAAACACAGCCTCAAATACAGTCAGAGGCTTCTCTCCATAGCTCTGAGCCGGGAGAAAGAACTGGTAAACACCATCACTTTTCCAATCTACATTTTCTGATTTTTAAAAATTAAGATATAATTCATATTCCATAAAATTCACCCTTTTAGCCCTAACCGATTTGGCTCAGTGGATAGAGCATCAGCGTGCAGACTTACGGGTCCCAAGTTCGATTCCGGCCAAGGGCACATGCCCAGGTTGTGGGCTTTATTCCCTCCAGTAGGGGACCTGCAGGAGGCAGCCAATCAATGATTCTCTCTCATCATTGATGTTTCTACCTATCTCTCTCCCTTCTTCTCTGAAATCAATAAAAAATATGTATTTAAAAAATTTATCCTTTTAAATTATAAATTCAATGGTTTTTCATATATTCACAGAGTGATATAACCATCACCACTATATAATTCCAGAACATTTTCAACACCCAAAAAGAAATTTGTCCCCATTAGCAGTCATTTCCCACACCCCTTCAACAACCCTGGTAATCACACATCTTCTTCAGAATAACATCCTAAAAGAATTCCTAAAAAGGACAGCTGTCAAGTCTCAGGTGGTGAGCTAAGGTAGAAATATGCAAACTTTGTATCCTTTTTTTCATTATATTCTTTTTTTTATTAAGGTATTATATGTGTATATATCTTACCATTCAAACTTTGTTTTTAGATACCCTGTATCTTCCAAATGTAACCTTATCTTTAGATTTCTTATTAGAATATTCTATTACTTTAAATGCTACAAAACATGAAATTGTCAGGCAGTTTGGGCAAATACTGACTATAAATGTGATCCAGAGTTACATATCTGTAAGAATAATAGATATGGATTTAACCAACCTTACTAGAGATAATGGACTTATTTCCTTCACAATGCTAATAATCCTAGAGGAGTAGATAGGGCTTATATATTATATGTAAATTATTCTCTGACCATTTACAACAACAACAAAAAACATCATTTTGGTTTACTGACAATGTCCAATGAACCACCTATTTCCAACAGTGATATTCTTTTTAAAAAATATATTTTTTTATTGATTTTAGAAAGGGAGAAGGAAAGAGAGAGAGAAATGTCAATGATGATAGAGAATCATTGATTGGCTGCCTCTTCCATTCTCCCCACTGGGGATCAAGCCTGCAACCCATGCATGCGCCCAGACCAGGAATCAAACTATGACCTCCTAGTTCATAAGAGGACACTCAACTATTGAGCCACACTGGGTACCAACAGTGATATTCTTAACCAACTAAACCAGCAGAAAGCCTGGGGGGGTTGGGGGGGGGGAGGATGCAAATAGAAAGCTTTCTTGTAAAAAGAGACCAAACCCAAATCAGTTTTATGAGTTAAACTGAGTGGAAGTCCTAGAATTCCTGCCATACTTCCTCCAATCTAAATGGCCCACCATTTCCAGTCACATGGCAAGGGCAGTCTCTTTAGTTTCTCTCTCCAAATTCAAAGCCCTTTCCCAGCCTCCTACATTAACATGCTTCCAAGAAAGCAGTCCTCCTGACACTGCCAATCAAAAAAAAAAAATCTGTTCGTTTCAGTAAAGAAACAAGAAATTGGTCATGGATTGCAGAGTCCAGGACCACAGGAGCAGCTCACGCATAAACCTGCTCCTAGAAGCCAACACTGTGTGGGGGGTCAGAACCAATCAGAAGACCATGAAATGCCCTACTTTGGGTCCACTCTCTCATTTTTCTCAAGAAGGTAATAAGCTAAAACCCAAGAACAACGGGGCAACCTTGGCTGGTAACATTTCAAAAACTGCTACATCTATTGGCCTCTAGAAAGTACTAGCACCTTTCATCTTTGTCTGGAGGAAAGCTTGGTTACACCCACTTGGGTGTTCCTAGTACCACAGACAGAACTGGCTCCTCAGCACATTCAGGTTTTATTAATTTCAAAGAGCAGATAACATGGATTCCTAACCCAAGGATGTAAGAAAGTTAGGCAGCAGATTGAACTTTTGTAACTCTTACATGATCTAGAGCAGCGGTCGCCAACCAGTGGTCCTCGGACCACTGGAGGTCTGTGAGGTCCGAAAGGTTAGCGATCCCTCATCCACAGACCCCAAGTCCTGGACTGTACCATATACCACAGATATGGTTTCTGAGCTTAAGTCTCAGGATATGTCAGGAGAGGAAAACAAGTACAGGATATGGATTGGATGGCAAGCAGGATATGTGGCTGTCAGGAGAGCATCACCACCTCAGCTTCTCAATGTCCAGAGTGCCTAAAAGATCTACAAAGCTATTACAATCTACAATTTTAGAGTGTTCCCAACCAAAACCATGCTGTGTCATAAAATGTTGGCCAAATATTTCCAAATATATTCACTTGTTTAATCCTTTAACATCTCTTAGAAAGATAGTATTCTGCACTCTTACCCACCAAAAAGAGTTGTAAATATCTACTCTTTCTTATTGGGATATGTAAGCTTTATCTGTTCAGAAAGAAAAAAAAAGAAAGAAAAGAAAAAAAAGAAAGATAAGTTTTTGCAGGCACTCAATTCTTTCTAAAGCATCAAAGTCACTTATAATACAGGCCATAAAACAAGAATCTACCACCTAGTTGCAACATTCACCCTGCTAACTAATTAACAACCACCTCCTCTATACTTGATCCTTCTTGGCTAACATTTCCTAACATTTCCAATAGTTTTCAATAAAGTGGAATTTGCTCCTTTAAAGAAAAGATTATAGGGAATCCTTAGATAACATCAGCCCATGTTTAGGAAAAGTACAAAGGAAATTTTCTCCAGATATTCCTCATAAAAGGAGAAAAATGTATTTGTTTATTGGTATGTAATTTGTAAAAGCCTAAAAATGATTTCAATTGTGGTCTTATACATGTTACTAGCTGTCCATCCCTGCAATAGTTCTTTTCAAGGACAATACATTGCAAAAGTCCTTTACAGTCAAGAGTAATACAGATCTGAGGCTTTCCCTTTCAGTCTTTATCACTCCTGTTGAAAAACCCAAAGGTGTTGAGTCTTGCCTCACCCACCCAAAACACATGTATATATCTATATATATAAAAGCCCAGCAACCAGGACAGCAGAACAACTAGAACAACCAGAATGACATGTGGCTAGGATGTGCACTGTGGCACCCACCGGCCTGTTCCAGGCCCAGATCAGCCCACCCAAGGCCAGCCCAGCCCCAATCGGCTCCAATACCCCATTTGGGGCCGGCCAGCCAACCACCTAGGTCCCTGCCCCCCTGCCAGCCCTGCCTAATGGGCCCCATTGGGGTGGGCCGGCCAGACCTCATCCATGCATGAATTCGTGCACCAGGCCTCTAGTATATATATAAGGCACTTCCTGTGTACATTCTCCTCTAATTGCATGAACAAAAACAATATAGAACAGGGTACTAAAGCAGACATCAGGAGCCAGAATTTTAGTCTTGACTCTATTTCTCTTTTTTTTAAAAAAACACATATTTTATTGATTTTATACAGAGGTGAAGAGAGAGAGATAGAGAGTTAGAAACATCAATCAGCTGCCTCTTGCACACCCCCTACTGGGGATGTGCCCGCAACCAAGGTACATGCCCTTGACTGGAATCGAACCTGGGACCCTTCAGTCTGCAGACCGACACTAGCCATTGAGCCAAACCAGTTAGGGCAACAGGAAGGTGGTGTTGCAAATACTAAAAACTTTATTTGTGCCACCAACTTCCTACCTTATGGCATGCATAGGTAGACAAAGAAAGTAGCTCAAACCAAAATAACTTATTTATTACTCACACAATGAAGGAAGCTTATAATTATATGAATGCTGATTCCCCACTAAAGAGGGATGTCCTTTTAGGAACTCAAGGAAAAGGATCAGCAATACAATAAGCCAGGGGCAATCTATCCTCATGACTCAAACCTGGCTTGCAACCTGTTTTTTTAAGGAAAATTTGATTTTTTACTCATTCACTGAAGTATTATCTATGTCTGCTTCCGAGCTACAATGGCAGAATTGAGTAATTACTATGGCCTGTAAACTCCAAAATATTTACCTTACAGAAAAAGTTTATCCAATAGTTCTTTTCAGAAAAAAGTTTATCCATCCACGCAGTAAATCAGACACATGTCTTTTTTACCAAGATAAATAATCTTACATAGATGTGAGTATTTACCAGTTATGCTGTTTAGAACCTCCTTTAGATGACTGAAACTATGCAACAGAGGATCCCGTTCTTCATCCTGCAACAAACAGGTGTTGTTTTTTAAAATCATTACAAACACAGAGGAAAAAGGAAACAAAGGAGAGATCAAGGGCTCTTTCTCTGAATCCAACCAGAAAATCCAGTAAGTTTTTATTCTTAGGAAAAGGAAGTTAGTATAGTTTTTCTAGTTCCTTAATCTCTTAATTCATAGAGGTTCTCTGGGCTTATCTAAAATAGTAAATCCTGAAGTTTTAATCTACACTATGACCACAGCACTCAAGCTACCATAGATTGCCATGTCCTTATATTATATTTGCTATGCTCTGAAGGTTTTGTCCTAAAAGCTTATATGTTGCCTGGCCAGCATGGCGCAGCTGACCTGTGAACCAGGAGGTCACAGTTGGATTCCTCACTGGCCTGGTCGTTCCCAACTGCTCCCCCTGCTGGCCTGGTCCCCCCATGCATCCTGCTGTTCAGTCGTTTGGTCATCCCACACTAACCCCCCTGCTGGGTTATTTGCCTCATGCAGCCTGCTTGTACAGTCGTTTGATTGTCCCTCACTAACTTTCTGCTGGCCTGGTAGTAAACATCTTGTTAGGGTGTGGAGGATCAATTTGCAAATTATCTCTTTATTATATAGGATAACTTACATGTTGAAATACTAATGCCCAATATGACAGAATCAGGAGATGAGGGTCTTTAAAAGGTGGATGAGTAGGTCATAAGGGCAGAGCCCATATGAATGGAATTAATGGCCTACAACAGAATCCCAAAAGAGCGCTCTTGCTCCTTCCACCATGTGAGGACACAATATGAAATCAAAGACCCAGAAGAAGACCCTCATCTGACCATGCTGGCATAATGATCTCAGACTTCCAAGCTCCAGAACTGTGAGAAATAAATTTCTATTGTTTATAAGCTACCCAGTTTGTGGTCTTTTGTTACAGCATCCCAAACAGATTAGACATATACACTGAGTGGCCATATTATTATGATCTCTGAATGCATAATAATCTGGCCACTCAGAATATATTCTGTATAATAAAAGGCTAATATGCAAATTGTCCCCTCGACCAGGAGTTCGACCAGCAGGCAGGCCAGCCAACCGCCCATGTCCTCTCCCCCTGACCAGGCTGGCCAGACCCATCCATGCACAAATTCATGTACCAGGCCTCTAATATATATATATACATATATATATATACACACACACACACACACACACACACACACACATATATATATATATATATATATATATATATATATATATGTATATATATGGAGTGGCCAGATTATTATGCGTTCAGAGATCATAATAATCTGGCCACTCAGTGTAAATCATTCTGTCTTCTTCTTCTTCTTCATATTTATTATATAATCACACATGCTCATTTCAAAGGCATTCATGAATCCACTCTCACTTCTAAAACCTATTTTTATAAATGAGCATAAGAAATTTCCAAACTCCTAATTGAAAATGTCTAAACTTTTTTAAAAAAACTTTTATACAACTGTACAAAAAATATCCTTAAACATATGTATACAACAAAGAAAGCCACCTTTATAACAGGTAAATTTCTTTTTTTTAAAATATATTTTATTGATTTTTTTACAGAGAGGAAGGGAGAGAGATAGAGAGCTAGAAACATCGACCAGCTGCCTCCTGTAAAGCCTCCACTGGGGCTGTGCCCGCAACCAATGTACATGCCCTTGACCAGAATCAAACCTGGGACCTTTCAGTCCGCAGGCCAATGCTCTATTCACTGAGCCAAACTGGTTTCGGCTACAACAGGTAAATTTCTTATTCATCTGATTAGCAAGATATGGCCTACTCTATGTATAGAAGCTTGATGAATTCTCAAGAAATACCATCACCAAGCCATACTCCATGTATAAATAACTAAACTAATTAAATGTGATAGCCCTAGAATATAAGGAATCTGACATTTTTAGGCATTTTAAGTAAGTCCCAAATACTAGCTTAAGTTATTTACAAAAAATAGTTAGAAGAAGAATAGTATCATCTTTTATGTCCCAGAGGGGGAAAAAAAAAAAAAAAAAAAAAAAAAAAAAAGGCAGCCTGTAAATTTGACAGTAGCTGGAATAAAAGAGAATGTCCTTGATATCAAGAACAACTCTGAGCCTTGGCCGGTTTTTCTCAGTAGTTAGAGCATTAGTCCTCGGACCTGAGGGTCTCAGGTTTGATTCCTGGTCAAGGGCACATACCTCAGTTGCAGGTTTGATCCCAGGTCCCTGTTGGGGCTCATTCGGGAAACAACCAATTGATATGTCTCTCCAATGACAATGTTTCTCTCTCTCTCTCTCTCTCTCTCTCTCTTTCCCTTCCTTCCTTCTTCCCTCCCTCCCTTCCACTTTCAAAAAAAAAAAAAAAATCAATGGGGGAAAAAATATATCCTCTTGTGAAGAAGAAGAAAAAAGAACTTTGAATTCCTACTATCCTCATTATTACTGGGAAATTGATTACTGTTTTAACTATGCACAGATCCCTAACAAATCAGTAACCAAGCTTTCTGCCCATTCCCCACTTACCAATGGAATATGGGTGCTCCATCGGGCATTTCGTTTGATGGCCCCAACCACAATGTTAATCTCCCCTTGAATGATGTAAATATTCTTATCCACCATCCTGGCAAACCTACCAAAACAGTTAAGAAAAAAGTATAGTTAATATTTCTTACCCAGAGCATATGCATGCTTAAATTAATACTTGCTAAGATTATAATTATAATTTAACTTTTAAATACCAAGATTTCTGGAAGTTCAAGATACAATTCAAAACACATCAATCCAGTCCTGGCTGGTGTGGCTCAGTAGGTTGAATGTCAGCCTATGCACAAAAAGTTGCAGGTTCAATTCCTGGTCAGGTCACATGCCAGGATTGCAGGCTCGATCCACAGTAGAGGGTGGGCAGGAAGCAGCCAAATGATGTTTCTCTCACCCATCTATGTTTCTTTCTTTCCCTTCCGCTCTCTCTAAAATAAATTAAAACTTCTTTTTTTTTTTTTTTTTTTTTTTAGCATCAATCCTGCCCAGCAGGCTTGGCTCAGTGGTTGAGCTCCAACCCAGGAACTAAGAGATCACTGGCTCAATTCCAAGTAGGGACGATTCCAAGTAGGGAAGTGCATAAGGCAGCCAACAGATGATATTTCTCTATCATCAATGTTTTTATTGTTCTATCCCTCTCCCTTCCTCTCTCTCTAAAAATCAATTTTTTTAAAAAAGCATTAGCCCCAACTGGTTGGGCTCAGTGGATAGAGCATCGGCCTGCAGATTCAAGGATCTTAGGTTAATTCCAGTCAAAGGGCATGTTCCTTGGTTGTGGGCACATACCCAGTAGGGAGTATACAGGAGGCAGCTGATCGATGTTTCTCTCTCATCGATGTTTCTAACTTTCCATTCCTCTCATTTCCTCTCTGTAAAAAATCAATAAAACATATATATATTTTTAAAAAGCATCAATCCAGAAAATTTCTCAAAGGTACCTCAACAATTTCTAGCAAACATGTAAAGTTCTTCAAAGGTGGGGTGGGGCTCAGTGAAGTGGGGGAAATGGGGGAATTGAGGGACATGTGCAATACTAACAATAAAAAAAAAAAAAAAAAAATCTTTCCACCCTAACCGGTTTGGCTCAATGGTAGAGCGGACTGAAAGGTCCCAGGTTCGATTCCGGTCAAGGGAATGTACATTGGTTGTGGGCACATCCCCAGTGGGGGATGTGCAGGAGGCAGCTGATCGATGTTTCTCTTTCATCAATATTTCTAGCTCTCTGTCCCTCTCCCTTCGTCTCTATAAAAAGTCAATAAAATATATTTTTAAAAGATATATAAATTTCCTATGAAGCCTTTAGATATGCAGATATATCTGTGTTACTAGTTTATTAAAGATACTAGAGGCCTGGTACATGACATTCGTGCATGGGGTGGGGGAGTCCTCACCCTGGCCTGCACCCTCTCAGCAGTCCAGGACCCCTCAGGGAATGCCCGCTCTCCAAGGAGTCCTTATCACAGCCGAGGAAGCAGGAGAGGCTACTACCACCACCACCACCACCACCACCACCACTACCACCACTACCGCCAACGCCATGCCCCAGCGATGAGCCCAGGTTCTGACTGAGCAGCGCTCCTCCTGTGGTTGTTTATAGGAGGAAATCTCTAACAAACCGACTGAAAGGTAGACTTTTTTGTAAAGCTACTTCTATATGATTCTCTAAAGTAAAAACTGAAATATTATTTTAGTATTTTAAATGCTCCCAATTTAACTACCACTTAACTACCATTTTCTTTGCTGCCTAGAACAGCACTTAGAAAAGATATTTAATTCTTTCCCCAGATGAAAATATTTAAAAAACACGAACGGAGCTTTGACAGCTATTGATCAGTGGTTAAGAGTGTTGGCCCGAGCACCGAAGAGTTAAGGGTTTGATTCCTGGTCAAGGGCATACCTGGGTTACAGGTTTGACCTCTGCACAAGTAGGGAGTGTACAGGAGGCAAGCAATTGATGTGTCCTTCTCACATCAATGTTTCTCTCTTGCCCTCCCCCACCCCTTCACTCTCTGAAAAATCAATGGAAGAAGTATCCTCAGGTGAAGATTAACAAAAACAAAAACACACAGAATTTCTTCTTGGCATGAGAAAACCCTAGGAGTATGTAAGACCAACTCAACACTTTCCGTGATTTAGAAACCCTTCTCAGAAAGACAAAGGTAGGCATGTTGGTGTATACAGTTAGACCAACATTTAGATCAGGCAAAAGGATAATTAAACAGTATAGGTAAGGGAAGAAGAAATTCCAGAAATATTTACTTACTGAACATCTACTATGCATAAGGAATCGAACAGAGTACTAAGGATACAAAACAATTAAGACATGGAAACAGCTGTCAGACATAATGTGTTATCACTTATGTAAAACCCAACCCACCATACACAAAATACTAAATTTTTGTTTTTGTTTGTTTTTGTTAATTCTCATCTGAGGATATTTTTCTTTTTTAATATATTTTTATTGATTTCAGAGAGAAAGGGAGAGGGAGAAAGAGAGAGAGAGAAACATCAACGATGAGAGGGAACCATTGATTGGCTGCCTCCTGCACACTTACTTACTTTTCTCTGTATGTTAATTTGCACCTTTTGAATTTTGTGCCACACACAATATTGCCTATTACCTATTTTTTTATTTTTAGTTAACTGATTTTTTAAATGAGTAGGCTCTTTATAAAAGTAGTTGTGCCCAGCTGGTGTGGCTCAGAAACCAAGAGGAGCACTAAAGATGTAGAGCATACAGGGTTTCCAAAGCTGGCCAAGGAACACACCATAGTTGTGCTTTATTGAAAGTGACCAAGAATTACTGTACTAGTAAACAATTTACTGGGCTCAAGAAATTTACTCAAAGGGTGGAGATAAGAGAAAGTCAAACCAGGAAAATGGCCGGTGCCCTGACAGGACACAACTGGAAAATCCTCCCAAACCTGATAATCAGGTGACTTCAGCTCTACCATAGCACCTCCTCCCTCTGGAGATTCTGAGTTTATCCCAAGAACTATACCCAAGATAAGCCACTAAGGTATGTCCAAAGCTGTTCAAAGATATCCCTCTGCCAGCTAAGAGATGAAAAATAAAATAAGGCTTCTCTCACTCATCCTTAAACAACTTAGTGCAGTGGTCGGCAAACTCATCAGTCAACAGAGCCAAATACCAACAGTATGATTGAAATTTCTCTGAGGGTCAAATTTTTTAAACTTAAACTTCTTCTAACGCCACTTCTTCAAAATAGGCCGTGGGATTTTGTGGGAGAGCCACACTCAAGGGGCCAAAGAGCTGCATGTTGCTGACCACAGACTTAGGGCATCCAAAGTATAAGGATGACAGTTGGCAAACTAGGACCAAGATAAAAAGTTAGTATGTGTGATTACTAGTATATAAAGAGAACCACAATCTCATAAGGCCTGCCCATCTTGTGTATCAAGGATAATCATCCACTGTTATGGGGCAGAATCCATATTTTGTTCCACCTGCAGAGGTTTGCAAAAAATTAAATATTGCCAACAGTTTCAAACCCAACGATCTGAAGTTCTAATTTCTTCTGAAAGACAGGAAAAGTTAGCATACTATGCCCACATTCCAGTATACTACAATCCCCATTACATCCTAATACATTCCCACCTGGCTCACTTCACTCATTTACATTTACCTGCTTGATACAGTCATTTGAGTTTGTAATCCCTGTTTTATATATAACTGCAATAAATCATTACCCCCTCAATCATTTTCACTACAAGTGGGACTCCAAATCCCCACACCATTATATTTTTATTTAATTAAACAATTTCTATTGAACATACTAACAGAAAAGATGAACAATAATAGCTAAATAGCTGCCAATTATATTTACATAGCTCTTCCAGCCTGAGGGTAAAATGAACCTTTCTTTCTCCTCCAACTCAACTCCACCCTATCCCAAAAACAGAATCACTCTATTCTGTCACACTAACCACAATAACAGACTGTGATCAATCATTACAAATGGCATATAAACCTAGGATAATCCTTCCAATGAGTAATGTATAAGTTAATGGGTCTCCTCAAAAACAGGAGCTATGTCTTTTTCCACTCTTGCTGCTCACAGCAGCCAATCTAAGGACCCTATCAATGAAGTTATTATTTAAAAGTGGCAGTCATATCTGCCTTCTGGATCACAGGAAAGTGCAATAGTAGAGGAACTCTGAGAACTACAAATTCAACTGGGATTGGTGCCCAGCTACACGTGAGAAGTATCTACCTGAGTTTCTATAACAGGAGTTTCTATAACCTGAGTTTCTGCTGTGTCAATGAGCATCACTGTAAAGATTAGAGCATACAATCTACATTTAAGAATGAGCTAGCTGGTTTGGCTCAGTGGATAGAGCATTGGCCTGCGGACTGAAGGGTCCCGGGTTCTATTCCAGTCAGGGGCACATGCCTGGGTTGGGGGCACATGCCCAGAGAGCAGCATGCAGGAGGCAGCCAATCAATGATTCTCTTTCGTCATTGATGTTTCTATCTCTCTCCTCCTTTCCTGAAATCAATAAAAATTTTAAAAAATTAAAAAAAGAATGAACTTAAACATGTCTTGAAAGAAGCACAAATTTTCTGATTTTGGGTGGGGGCAGGGAATGAAAACCTATTCCTATCTAGAAAATGACTTTTTAAGTACAGAAAGGGAAAATCTTTTATGCCTGAATCATCTCCAGGCCTAACTGAAAAGATGCTGGGTTGGTCACACTATCTTGCAAAGCGTATCAACTCAACAGGACTCAACAGGGCATATCAACCCCGATGAGCAAGGCAGGCCCATCAAACCTAGGTACTTCCTGGGTTATGTCATGTCGTTAGCCTTTTTTTTTTTTAATTCTGCAACTTAGATCATAAAGTTAAAATGCAAATATTGCCTGTACCACTTCCATCCCACTTATTTTAAATCAATAAATGTTATCCCAACACACACACAATTTCAGGAGGGCAGAGGGCTTTAGGTAGAAACAGTTTAGTCACTCTAAATTCTACCGTAGTTTTCCCTTCTAATACAATGAGGTTTTGACTCTCCTTGTCACTACTACCTCACCATGCAAAAGTCCCGAATGCCAGGA